CCCCCCCCCCCCCCACCCTACTTTCCCCTCCCGTTCTCTGTTTCCACCGGCAACGAGCAGATTGTTCTGTCGGAGCTTGCGCACGAGACCGCGGAAAAGGCGGGCCTGAAGACGGAGCTGGAGATAGTCAGAGCCATGGAGAGCAAATCGGCGGGGAAAATCAAGTACTACATGAGGGTACGGTGATGTTGTTGTTGTTGCTGTTGCTGTTGTTGTTGAAGTTTTCCCGCGATGTTTCCACGCCCCCAACAGAACAGACATTTTTCGTCCCTACTGTACCGTCTCAGCCGTGTAATTTACGTACATTCCTCCATCCCACACTGTCAGAGTCCCCCCCTCTTTCTCCTGCCGACCAGATGTTGAAACGGAGCGCCGCCGAGCTCGCTCATCAGTGTGAGAGTGGCGGTCACGACAGAGGGTACGGATCATCATTTTTCCACGACCATGGAGGGAATGCCGCCGCTGCCGATGAGGCATCGAACCCACGAGGATGCCAGTCGTCCGGCTTAGAAGGAAGAAGCAAGACGGGGGCAGGAAGAGGAGACGGGATAAGGAAGGCGACGTCTAAGGGGGGCACAAGACCGGGGACCGCGCCGGCCAAAGTTCGCCCAGGCGGGGTCGGGGTCGGGGGAAGAGAAGGCGGCGGCCATGGAAACAACGGCAAAGCAGGAGAGCCGGCAGCCCTCAACAGCGCAAGTTTGATTGACGAAGATTTTGCACGTCAAAGCAGCGGTTGCTACTGCTGCTGCAGGGGCGGCGGCGGTGGCACCGGCTGTGAACAAAACAGCCACCCACAAACCCCAACCGATAAACCAAATCAACTGAGGAAAAGGAGGGCACAAACCGCGGCACGATTCCGAGCCAGCGCCCCAGCTGACAACGGCGGCGGCAGCTACGGTAGCCGCTGCTGCTGTGGCAGTGGAGGCAACGGGGCAAGAACCGGGAAACGCTGCAGCACTTGTGCAGGGGGGACCACGAGACATTCCAGGAGAAGGGCTCAGACCGCGGGCAGGTCTCGAGCACGGTCGACCGCGAACGGCTCACCCCAGTACAACATATGTGGGCGCAACGACAACCCCGTACCAGAAACACGCCCCCCGCCATCGCACTCCAGGTCTCCTCCTCTTGGGAGCGGCGGCGACGGCGGGGGCGACGCAGAATACGTTCCCGTCGTGGCCGCCGACGGCAGCGTCGACCAAGCCCCGACGAGGGGCACGGCTGATGTGGTCGACACCATCGGCCGACACGCGCAGAGAAGAACGCCGCAGGCGGGGGCAGGGTGGGGAGGTGCCAGCGATGGCCAGCACCGCGACGGGAGACCGGGGCAGCAAAAAATCGAGGAGAACGAGGCTGCTGCTGTTGCTGCCGCCGCTGCTGAAGGAAGGAAGGCGGGAGGACGAGGAGGACGAGGAGGAGGAGAAGAGGTGCTTCTGGCCGAAAGGAGGGTTCCGCAGGCACCGACGTGCGAGGCGGCACGGCCACCAAACGGTGGCAGCAGGAGCGGTGGGCAGCAAGAAATGAAGCACGACGTGGGGGCGGCGGCGGCGGCGGCGGCGGCGGCGGCGGCGGAAGTAGCAGCGGTGAATGGAGGGGCAGTGGGAGATCTCCCCCCCTCCCGCTGCCCGAAGGAGGGGGTCAGCATGGAAAGATCGGGGTCGGCAGGGGACGGGCGAGCTGTGCAGGTGTGCCATCGCGACGAAAGAGAAAAAAGATATACAACAGGTATTTTTCTGAAAAATCCGTGGAGGCCTCTGTATGAGCGAATAGTGCTGTACCTTGCTCACAAGATGTATTGTACGAAGCTATGGGAGACCTGTTCGTACGACACCAATCGGACGATTTGTCTGGGCAAGACAACGCGTTAGGGGTGAGGATGGGTGGTCGCACGAGTGATGGGTATCGAGAGGAAAAGGGGTAGACCCTTTCACTTGACTTGGGGCTCCAAAGATCCTTCTCCTTTACGCAGATATTAGGCACCCCTACGTTGGCGGCATGCAATCTGCCGTCTGTCTGTATCAGCCGTGCTGACGCCAGGAAAACTAGCGTGAGTTGTGGAGATGATTCCTAGACGGGTGCAACCTCCCCCATGTTCTGTCAAGGACGTTTCCCTCTTTCTCTGAGTGGCGGAAAGACAAGGCGACCTGGTCGGCGAGCGGAGACATAAACGAGGAATACATGCAAGAACTGCTGTGCCCATGTTCTTTGAGTCCTCGATTCCGTGACGGTCTCCACCCTGTGCAACCGTTAGTGCTGCTACGGTAGTACTTCGGGCGTATGCAAGTTCGTCGGAACGAAACAAGGGAGCAGCAAAGAGTGTGCTCAAATTCAGACGAATTGATGATACCGTTCGTCACTTCGTCACCCCTTGGCCTTCACTCGGACAAATCTGGCAAGACTAGGCAATCGTAATGCAGTGCGGGCTAGACCTGGGCGCTACATCACACGGTTGTTTATGATCCTCGTCGTTGAGTAGAAGTATCACTTGCCTATGATTCTTGCCGCTTCACAACATGTGGAAGTTAGGTTTGTGCTATCCGTCTTCGGCAATAATATCCCACTTTGTCGTGCAGTGTTGGCGGGACTTGGACGAATACCTTCAGCTTCGCGGCGGTGGCAAGACGTCTCGTGCGGATCGTCCGGCCACTTGCGGTGGAACCCGGCAAAGGAGCCCCCGAAGGCCACCAGGTGGTGTGAAGTTTTACTGTCGTCGTCGTCGTCGTCGTCTTTGTTGTTCTTGGTGACGATGGTTATGGTTATGGTGGTTGGGGTGGTAGTGATAGTGGGGGTGATAGTGGGAGTGGGGGTAGTATCAACCGGTCCCGTTCGGAAAGGAAGACTTGTTGGTGCCACGCGCATTGTTGCTTCCGATTCATCGCCAGACACGGTCTACCGCCACGATCACGCCAAAGGCAACGTTCATGGCAGCAACACGTGCCAAACTCGCTGAGGCACCTCGGTGTTGCGTGGCCGGGTGTAACCACGGGAGAATGGTATCCTTCCCACCCTCCTGGCCAGCCAATCCGGCTCGCGAACAATCGACGTTCTCCGTCCGCAGCTTCGTGTAGGATGCAACGTCTGTTTCCTTAAGAGACGTGCGTGGATGATGGTGTGGGTTGTGCCTACACCCAGCCCGGGAGATTCGTTTTCCCCTTTATGGTGTCTCCATTGGGGGCATGAGTGCTGTCAGCACCATTGACAATCGCCAGAGAATCCAAGACGCTGGGGTCGTGCCCGCGAAACATTTAACCGCTCACCCTCCCTTTCCCGCGCCCGTCGCAGTCGCCTCTCTCCGTGACCCTCACCAAACACACCCAACCAAACCCCTTTTCCAAAAACAGTTGCGAGTCACCAGACGAAGTATGCCCTCCGGCATAACCAGCACCACCAGCGCAACACAGGGCGAAATCTCTTGCACTCAGGTTTCCACGGTGGCCAAGGGGAGAGTTCCGATCCCTACAAACGGCGATCGAGTCGGCCGAGGCCTTGGACGGCTGGCGCCCATCTCTGTCATGGCAGTGGCGGCGGCGGCCGCGGGAAACAGAACTGGTGGGATAGGTTAGGAGGGAAGGGCGGCAATGGAGTGGAAGACAATGGATCGCGTTGCAAGGGGGGGGTGGAAACCCGCGGCGGCAGGCTTTGGGGGGACCACGATGAGGTACAAATGTGCCTTCGTGATTCCCGGCGTCTGTTTCTGTAGAGTCCTCCAATAGGTTCTTCTGCCCCTGCATTTATCACTGCCCAAGCCTGGCGGTAATTTTTCAATGATCCAGAAACGGTTGATGTTGTAGGCCGTCAACCCATCGATCGATGTGCGTTTTCTCGATGTTGGTCCGGCACGTGCAAAATGGGTTTGCCGATTAAACGATACACTGCACCCCCCCTCTACCCTTCTTAATATTTCCTTCGTCCCACAACCAAAATAAAACTTGCACGTCTTCTCGACAGAACCGTGAGCACGAGTTGTTCCAAACTCTCATCAGAAGGGAAGATCCGGAGAAGGATGCAGCCAACAGCTGGACACAGCAGGGCCCTGACCTCGACAACGAGTCCGCTCTTCGAGTCGACGATCACCGCAGGAACAGCGATCTCGCCGTCGGTCAGCAGTCGTGGGGGGAAGAAGAAACGCTTCTCAGGGCGGTGGACGACGGTGACCTGGACCTGTAAGTTGGCCCCGGCCCAACACCGCATGCCCTGAGCATTGCTTCTTGTAGTCTATTCGTAGCTTGTAGAGTACACTCGTGCCAATTATAGCTCTGACTGTTGCAAAGAACGATGTTCGCCTTGACCGGCAGTTGTTCGCGTTTCGCTGAATCGGCGACCCCTGTAACTGGCGTTGATATCGGGGATTCGGAAAGGACACCGTTTTTCCGGCGGGATGGACGACGGTCACCCTGATCATTGAATCAGGCGGAGGTCGAGAAGGTAGCCATAATAATGACCAAAGAGAATATAACCGGCTTGCTCTACCGTTTGCAGGCACGCGCGAAGTGGGCGCCTGACTCTCATTCTCGCAACGACCCCCCCTATACCCCCCACCCCTGGCCACAGGCTCTCACCCCGTGGCAGGCAACAACAAGATAACTGCCATAACCCTCCTTCAAGAGCCGCAAGAGCACGGGCGGCGCTTGCCGTCGCAGCGAAGGCGGGCCCCTTCGCCGCCAGCCCGCCGCGCCCGCAACAGACGGTGCTCGTGCGGGAGAGGCTCGGCGGCGTCGGCACCGGCGCGCCGACGGCACCCCGACAGTCGGAGATCGATGCGGTCGCCGCCGAGGAAGCTGCCAAGGAGGTGATGGAGGCCGCCGCCGCCCAAAGAGCGGCGCAGAGGCTAGCCGCGGCGGTGGCGGCGGCGGCGGCGGCGGCGGCGGCGGCGGCTCAACTAACCAGGGAAGCGGGTGATGTTGGCGTTGGTATGGCTGCGGCGATGGCGGGAGGAGCGGGAGCGACAACGGCGGTGGAGAATGCAACTGACGAGGGTGGAGACGGCGGCGATGACGGTGGTGGTGCCTCTGGCGGCTTCTCTCGGCAAGACATGATGATGATGGCCGGGGAACCCGCCGGACAGGGAGAAGCGGGAGGGACGACTTCTTCTTGAACCACGGCGACACCCCCCTCGCGGGGTTCACTTTATTTCTAACACCTATTGGAGGAGTGTAGTGGATCGGAGGACTGTAAGGGCGGTGAGCCACGGCTATGTTTAGTAAAGCCGCTCGGGTACACCATGTTGAAAATCACAAGAGCATTTGCAAGGTAGGACTTTTGGAAGAGATGTACTACCATTCATACCGTTGCCTGTGATGATCATATGCATGCAGTGGCATAATCCGATGCCGTGATCCCGCTATATTTAGCTGTCGAGGGGAGTCGGCCTTATTACTCCATTGTCACTTTACCCTCGTCGTTTGAACACTGGAACACAGTTTTCGAGACAGAGCACCGTTGTGACTCGATCATGAGTACATCGCCAACCCTCGGCGACTCTCATCCCGCGTTGGTCGTCATCAGCTTCTTTGTTCACCTTCTGGGCGTTTCGAACCCGCTAACAGTTACCTCCGGAGGTCTACAGAACGCCGCGGTCGCGGCTCCCTCTTGGCATTCATATTGACCAACGGACGTACAGTAGTCATCCCATGAGATATCAAAATCGCCCGCATTGTCCATCACAACCAACTGTTTTGCTCCATGAGCATCTCCTGAGGAATGTGTGTGCGGGTGTACGGGGGGCACGCTTCTGTTTGCGATCGGCACTCGAACCCGCGGATGACACTAAAACCCAAAACATTTGTTTCGCTCGAAGACCTATCCAACGGAGCGAATGTCATGAACCTCTGCCTGCGGTACTCAGTGATGTTTGGACACCAGATCGACTGATATTTTGACTCTAGATCACAAAAATATTTGGAGTCCAGATCGCCAATGTTTGGATTGCAGATCAGGGCACCCTCCCCGGAGTTTGGGCCAACCATCCTTAAGCCACTCACGACTCACGATCCCCCGACTTTCCAACAAATGAATGAAGGAAGCCTCAAATTCAAGACACCGCCTGATCCTCGTTTCTATCGCAGCGGCAGCTGCTTGCTGCCGCTGTTTAGATTGTTGTCCTCCACACAACAATTGCCACAGCCCGTACAAAACTAACGGCAAGGAAAGATATATTGATGTTAGTCTAATCGCAATAAGTGCCTAAAATCGAAGGACGCCACAAGCTTCTCGCGGAAGGCAATGCTGCCACGTGTTGAAGCATTTCGCGCGAACTTTAATACGACTTGCTCCTGAAAGGAGCTTCGCTTCCATATATCCCGTTGTAGGTGCACAAAGAGATGGTACATTTATTCGTTTATTCCATGTAAGCCAGGGACATTCACAAGAGCAAAGCCCGTTATTATCCCACAGGGCTCGTTGTTGTTGTTGTTGTTGTTGTTGTTATCTTCACATTAAAAACCGTTCCGATCTCTCTCTACCCAGTACCTTCATATGTCCGTATTAATCCAACACTTGACGCGGTCGATTCCCGTGGTCGCAGGCTAACTTGCCCTAAAAAGGTACACTCAAACAAACTGGCCACGAGGGGTCCGCAAGTCAACANATTAAAAACCGTTCCGATCTCTCTCTACCCAGTACCTTCATATGTCCGTATTAATCCAACACTTGACGCGGTCGATTCCCGTGGTCGCAGGCTAACTTGCCCTAAAAAGGTACACTCAAACAAACTGGCCACGAGGGGTCCGCAAGTCAACAGAAATCAACGACAGATATTCTGGAGTTCTCCGCTTCCTCTGCGCGCTATGCGAGGAAACAAATTGAGACTAGGAGTTAGCATCACGAGCGAGAGAAAAAGAGGTACACCCCCTTGTTCCAATCTTGATATTTCACAACGCAAGCAGAGACAAGGCCATCTGACGCAGAAAAAGAGAGAAAAAAGAGAAAATAAAATAAAAAAGGGCGAGGACTAAAAATAGACCAGGCCGAAAAACAACAGGAAATAAGGAACAGAAAAAGGCACACGGTGGAGAGACCACTAACGAACACATAAACACGCAAACATGGCCACCAACCAGCGATACATTGTAATGGTAAGTCATCACTAGCAGGGGGTTGGTGCAATGGTGCAGCGCTGGGGGCGGGGAATTGGCTACAAGAGATTCAGTCCGGCACGTATCGCGCTACTCGGTCCGTCTCTTCTCGTTTGCTTTCTTCCCTCGCCGCCTCGTCCGTCTCCTGCCCCCCTCCCGCCCCATTGGTTGTTGGCTTGTGGTCTCGTTAGAGTCTTCGTTGTTGGCTGGTCTTTTCTTCCTTCTCGTGCCAGGAGGTCATGAACCTCTCAGCTCCCTGCAGCACCGCCGCATGCCAGGGTACTCCCCCTCCACCTTAGCGGCTTCCGTCCACTTTAACTTCAATGTCGTGTCTTTCGGTACCGGCATTCCGAGACAACATGGATCGGTCTCCGTTGATCCGTGGTCGGCCCCGAATGCCTTCAGGTCGTCGAGCACAGACTTTGGCCAATTCTGTTCCTATCCCCCCCTACGTCGCTTCTCCCCCCCCGCCAGCTCGCCGAGCATCAGTCGTTTCGGGAGTCGCCCGTCCGACTGCCTTGCCAATGCTACCGCGAACAGTAGGCGTCGTTGTCGGATCGTGGCTTCAAAGCTCTGGCGTTCGACCCTCTTCAGCGTCTGGGCGTAAGAGAGCTGCCGGTAGGTGCCTTTCTTGCGCTTGTACCGATGACTCGGAGGAGCAGTCGGTGGTGTATCGACCGCAGCGTCTGATAGTGGCCGCTGAGTGTTGACCATGTCATGTAGCCGTACAGCAGTGCCTCCATCGCCTTCGCCTAGAGCAGGCGGATCTTGAGTCGCGATGGCGCTTTCGGTCTGTCGAAGAGCTCCCGGCCATATCGCCTGAGGCACGCCCACGCTCCTCTGCTCCTGTAGTTGGTCTCCCGGGTGAGGTCGCCATGTTCGTTGACGAGGCCACCGAGGTACCGGTACTCGGTGGTCTGGGCGTATTTCTGTCCCGCGGCTTCGATGGTCAGCGGTGGGGGCGGGGGGGCTGTGGTGTTGTAGTCGGCTTGTCCTTCGCGCGCATCAGGAGCGTCTCCGTCTTCTTCTCCGACACCGTCAGCCCGAACTCCCCGAACACCTCAACGATGATAGTCATCATTTTCGCCAGTCCTTCTGCAGACCTCGATACGATGCCGGCATCATCGGCATACGGAGAGAACACTAGAAAACTAAACAAGATCGACATTATGTACGAAAATATACAAATGTCTGACACGCATCGATAAATACAGGCAAAAAAAAACAACTTTTCCCCCACGAAACCACGCGGTCACACCCCCAAAAGACCAGCACGTGCCCCAATTCCATGTTTAGAGAGAGAGAGACTGACAAGAGACAGAGCCATATTCTCGTTTCCATCGACAGTTTCGACTCCGCCGCTGCTCGCTCAGGACAGCACCAAAACGAATGCTGGGGGGTCCAAAACAGTATCGACGTCGGATCGTGAGGATGTTCATGATTCCTCGTCCTCCGCATCAGGTATCTCTCGCTCCACGCGATCCTCCAGAATATTACACAGATCCCTAAGATCTCGCAACCCCTCCTTCAAGAGTTCCAGCGCTGGTCGACCTGCCCAACAGACAAGGGGCGCAATCGCAGCAGAGTTGACGATGGTTCTGAACAGCAAAAACACACGCTTCGAAACGGTGGGTGATGTTCTTCAGGAGGGAAGCTACCCTGTTGCCTAAACTCTCTTGGCAGCTTGTCTGTCTAAGCGATGAAAACGGTTGCTACATTCGAGGAAATCTGTGGCTTGAGGTAGCAGTGTACGGAATCTGAGATTCGCAAGGGAACGACGCCTTGCACTCGTTCTTGTTTATCTTTCAGTTTAGTACCTGTAGTTTGAAGCCTGAGGTTCATCTTGGGCTCTGACGGGTGGGGAACGCTATACCCGCAAAACTCCACCTCTTTGTTCTGCATCAGCACGTGACGCAAGGCGTTTCCGAGCGTGTGGTCTTCATCTCTGAACAATAATCATGTCGGCGTTGTACGCGACAGCGGCGGGCGAAGCGCGGAATAGAGTTGGCGGTGTTGTATGGAAATGACGGCAGGGTCTCCATTTGCTCCTGACCGGAAATACTGCTTGGATGTTTTACTCTGAGAAGATCTTAAAGTGTGGATGACGGGCATACAGATGACGTCACCACTGGTGCACATGGACAAGCTTACTTCAGAAGCAGGACCAATCTCCGCTGCGACTCCTCCAAAGCTACCTGCGGAGCTGCGGAGCGGGAAGTCCTGCGACTACATACCCGGCCATCTATCACTCTCCCTTCCGAGACCTTTCTCCTTGCCAAAACTCAAGGGAGAAAACTTCCAGCCCTGGTAGCGGATGAATACTGCCGCGACCTGGTGCTGGTTCTAGCCTACCGTAGATGACACAAGATAACTCACCCACTGGGCCGATCTTCAAATCTCGATTTCTCGACAGCAGAAAGAGTCACAGCGCTGAAAACGGCGGAGTTGAAGCTGTCTCGTCTAGAGCTTTCCGAAAATGTATTGTTTCATTTATGCATCCTCTTCGTTGTCGCATAATCAAGCTTTGGAAATTGGTGCAGGGGGTGTATTATCTTGTGTCATATACGGTATACAGAATAAACTGTTCGGTGGCAAAGAGCACCAAGGTGATGATAGTGTTCTGATCCAAGATTTGTGGGTGGGATGTACTCGGGAGGCATGCGGCTGCCACAGGTGCTGTCTGCTACCAGTTCAAGCGACTTCGGTATTGCCACAATTGTGTTTTCTCGCGTGGAAACAAGACGTCGACGTGTAGCCATTGTTCGGGTAGGATAGCGCGCCAAAAAAGAGTGAAAGCTGCCGTTGACCGCAACGTGAGAGAACGGCTCTCCCGGGAGGATCCTCGAGGGTGCGGATTGCACCACGAGCATCGCCAGCTTTAACAATAACGTAGCGTGTACAGATAAACAGCAGGAAGCCATTGATCAACGGCTTCCATTGATATGGTTTGCTCGTCGACGACTTCGTCGACGGCTTCCATCAAGGCCTTCACCGCTCCTCCTCCTGCTGCGTCGGTTTGATTTTTCGTCTCAGAGCAGCAGCAGTCCCTCATCGCCTGACAGTGTGGAGTCCCATGCGATCATCACCACTCCCTATACCGCTTTCTACGCATTCGACCGCAGCGAAAAACTATTCCCCCGCACTGCAGCAGGCTTTACAGACGAAAAGTTCTAGAAGAAAGGTCCTTCTCTGCCCATGCTCGCTTCCCACTACCGGAAGAAAAAGCATCTCAAACGAGGACGAACGTGGATTGGTGAACACACGACATATCTGGCTGCGTGTGCATGGTGAGAACAACAGCACCGTTGTAGTGCGATTCGTCCCACGCCAGACTCCTACAAGAATAACCACAAGACTCTTGGGGCGAGTTTCACGGAACGGACCGATGTGTGTAGCTCGTGGTGTGTTTGTTGAATTACATGTATTGCTGTTGCATCGACCGCGCTCAACACAGGTAGGTATTACCCAGCTGAGACCTATAAAGAGGACGCCTGAGTGCATACGTGAACAACGCAAACAACGTATTCCTCTGCTCCAGTTTCCGCTGTTTGGTGTTCAAGAACCGAGGTAACCAATGGCGCCAGGGCTGCTGAAGCTGACTCTTCTACACAGCTTCCGATTGCGCGTGTGGCAAACACTGCCTGGCTCCGCAGGGCAGGGAAGAAGACGGAGTTCTGATATTCATATCCGACATCCGACATTTCACATCATGGTGTTGTCGTGTTTGTCACAATTCAACAGCGAAACAAACATGCCAACACGAACAAAACTGGAAAGTGCACGGCAGTAGTTTCTACTTGCTGCGACCCCGAGGTTACAACATCCAGGGTGCGCCAACCCTTGCCGAGACGGCTGGCTGCCCTCGCGCCTATCCTATCAGAGTGTACGCACAGCAGGTTCTCACCCGAATATGAACGTTGCCGAGGACAGCGAGCTCCCTTCCTTCACCTGAAACTTGATATCCGCTACCGTCGGTCTGTGCTCGTTAACCGCCATTGTGTAGGGCTGCTGCGTACGTGGATTGTAACACAACAGCAGCAGGCAGAGAGTGGGTGGTTAGCGACACGGAGGGCTTCGAGGCGCCGTGAAACAAAAACGCACATTGTGCTGGTACCTTGCCGATCCTGAATCATTCCACGGCGCCCCCGCCACAAATTTCTCCTCTGAGCACCTTCGACCTCTCGTCACCACATCCCCAGTTGCTGCTCACACCCACTACAGCACAGGCGTTCATCGCCTCGTGGTCACCATGGACTGCTTGCCGGAGCTGGTCGTGGCCAAGAGGAAAACGATATCAAGTTCCAAGATGGCAAAACGATTACGAAGGTACGGAAACTTGCGGCTGTAGGAGACGTCGCCTGTGCTGTTTTATCGCATTGGTTTTCAGTGGATGTGGGTCGGTCGCAGCGCGCCCTCTCTCCATACATTCATTTCCTGCGCCGTATATGCGGTGAGATCCCCGATGTAGGTTGGTACCTCTTGTTCTAGCAGTCGTGGCTCTTTCTTTGCGCACGCAGACTTTGCAAGCATCACGTCCCTCCTACTTGTAAATTGGTGCTGAAACCAAGCCTGCTGGGTCGTTCGTACGCGGAAGCGTTCGCCCACTACCCTCCATGTACGTCGTGTTGCAAAGCTCCCTTAGCTCCCTTCACTGGTGACGAACGTCCGATAGCACACATGGTGCCCTCAATTCCTCTGAAAAACACGTCCATGCACTCGATGGTATCTCCTGTAGCGGTTGCCATTGTCTTCGTTCCTTTCGGTCACCCATGGGATGAGCACAGCCATCAATTCTGGCCGACAACGACGGTACTGCTGTGTACCGCATGTAGCTGACATGATATACCACACCCCTTGGACCTATTGTTCAAAGCTCGACTACTCCATACCGAAGAGGATACCAAATCAAACGATATGTTTCCGGATAGATGTCGACGAGACGTTCCAACCCCGCCATTTTCTGTACCGTGACTCTTTCCACTCCTGTGGAAAAATCGAGCGTTTTGAAATCGGTCCAGGGGTGTGTGTTGCATGCACGTCCGAGGTTGAACCTTTAGCTTGGATACGTCGATGTTCAAGTGTAGCTTCTGGGCGTGGCATCATGAAGCTGCACACGCCCACAACACATGCGAGGTTGTAGTTTTTCTCGTAGTATGTTGCACCTCGTGCCATCGTGCAAAACAACGACACTCCTTGCTACTTGTCGGAGGTGTAGCCGAAAGTCTGCTGCCGTCCTGTCCAGAGCTGAGGTCCACTTTTTCGCAACAAACGAATGTTCTTGTCTTCACGATATGTTTCTTGCGATCCGGGCACAAACCACGATAACCGGCTGCATTTTGAGAAAAGCGAGCGCATGAGTGCTGTTGTTGCTGCTTCAACTTCAAGTAGGTGACTCTTTTTGTCTAGTAATGTGGAAGATTAACGTCCGCCCGGACCTCGTGAACGTACCAGCTGATGCCTGTTCCCTTGCCCCATCTATGCTGCTCCACAACGTATCACCGCACCCACGTAAAGGCAGGTTTGTCGGTGAAAATCAGCGTCCGGACGCCCCGGAGGGTGGGGACGGCGACGTAGGGGACGACGATGTCACAAACGCAACCAAACCCGCCGCGACGGGGGAACTCCTTTGCCGCATCCCGGAAGAGACGCTGTTCCAGCTCCAGCAGATCTACGAGGCTCTCGAGGGTGCGAGCGGCGTCAAGCCGGCGTCGAGGGCGCCAAGCTTGACGGACATCATTGCTGCAAGTGCCGGTGATAACGGTGAAACAGAACCGAGCGGAGGAAACGAGGCTTCCGTGGTAACGCCTGAGAAGACGACCAAGGTTAGTGCGCGTTTTTAGGAAACGTGCGTACAACCACAGCAATCAAGCTGGATGGGTTGAACTCTTTTCGGTGAATGGGGGAAAAACCTGCCGGGTTTTTCCAACCGATTCTAAAGTCGTTCGAATTCAGCCGGCGGTGAGCGTGCCTTGTGCGTGAAGCACATCTTCGGGTCGGGAACGACCATTGGACTCGCCGATGTCTCAGGTGTCAAGTTGCTTATTTGTCCACCAACCCGCACCCTCCCAGAGTTTTCGTTCCTCTCCCTGTTACCCTCTCAGATATATTGAGTGGCCCAAGTCATTGTCGGTAGAGTGCTCTGCCCGTAGCTGAGAACTCGTGCTACGTAAAGCCGAGAGTTCCTGCTATTTTTCGCAGCAGGTCGGCTGATGTCACTTGGTCATCGTTTGTTTTCGAGCAATTAGTGTCAAGATATCATGGTGCTGTTTTGTTTTGTGCTCTTCGCTGTGTACTTATATATTTATATGCGTCTTGTTGATTGAATTGTAACTCGTAGAACGGTGCTCAACCGTCGACCGAACCACGTCAATTTCTCGAAAGGGAAACCCAAACCTTGTCAAATTCTCTTCATTCCTGACCATGAGTGAAAGAAGCCGGTGCTTTGGGATAGCAATAACGTTATGTTTCATGGTTCGGACACTAGGCGCCGATTCCGGATCACCGCAGACCGTGGCGCAGCAATGCGCCGCCACTTGCAACGACCCCGTGGGATCTGCTCTCCGTTCTGGCCCACATTTATTTTCCGAGACTCCTGTAGGTGACATGACATGTGATACCGCACCCCCTGGAGCGATTTGCGAAGCCCGAAATCTCCCCAGCAGAGAGTGGCGCAGCGAAAAGGCGGCGTTGAAGCCATGCCGTCGAGAGCTTTGCGAAAACGCCATCGTTTCGTGTTACCATCCTCATCGTGGTGTAGTCAAGCTTTGACAACCGGCTCAGAGGGTGGCATCTTGTGTTTACCCACGGCATCTCCAGAATTGTGTGGTATTCAGTATTCAGCCCCCTTTTAGACCACTTCATTCCTTGGCTTTGACGGAGTTCGTGGGCGTTTCGTTCCTCGTACCTTGTCGGGTGCCCCGCTCATTTCGGGCGGGGTGTGTGGAGTGTGTTTTTGTGAATTGACAGGCTTTCTTTTCTTGGGATGAAGATGGAGTTTTGAGTACGCGTGTGGCCTGTCAGGCGACTGCCACACCACGGGTCCAGGCCCCCGCCGCTCGCTGCCCCTCTGAGGGACGGTTGTGTCAGTAATTTGTTGCCTCTTTGCATCCGCCCCACCCCGATCCACACGTCCGGATAGACAAATATCAAGGTAACCCGGTGCCGCCGCCAAGCGGAGGCCGCAGCCAGCAGCAAATGATAGGCTTCCCGACTCGAGTTGATCGACAGACACCCCTTTGCATTTTTTTGTTGGTTGACGCGGCTTTCGGTTTTGTGTTTTCATGACGTCAGCAGAAGAGGGCAAGGGGAGGCGAGGAGCCCGCTACGGCTTCCAAGGCTAACGGCGGCGGCGGCGGCGGCAGCAGCATAGGGGCGAGCCCGAAGATGAAGAAGAAGGCCAGGAGAAAGAGCAACGCGACGTGAGGCTCTGGTCGCGCTTTCAGTGGACAGTGTGCCATGTGACCTGTCAGTCGAAAAGGAACACGTCCTTGTCTCGAACGTGCTCTGTGTACTTCTATTTGAGTGGGGCCGCCGTGTGATGGGTTGCGCAAAAAGAAAAAACGCCGCAAGGTGCCACCGGGGCGTGCTGAATTTGAAGCATGAAAGAAGTGCCGGAGTGCCTAGAGAACGCCATTCCCAAGTGGGCGTTTAATCACGCCGCCTGGGTCTTTGTTTTTGTTGTGTCAGCTTTGGTTGCCCTTGGTCGCACCATGTAGGTGCGAAATTCCCCCGAGAGTATCGAGATCGTTGATCGTTAGCCCGGATTTGCCCAGTTCCTTTCCTTGGTTGGGAACCCGGTATCATTTCCGTGCCGTTGCCACCTTCGACGTCGGCGTGGACGAGGAATGAAGACGTATTGGAATTCCAGACGACGGGGGCAACGGAACAATTCTTGGGTTTTGGCACGCTGTCGGGGGAGTGCTTAGGTTTATATTTTGTTTGCACGAGTGTGGCGGTATTGCTGTGGGCGTCCTAGTGCCTTGACTCCCAGTTATGCCGTAGTCGTGTGAAATGACGATGTTGTCATCGGCGAGTGTTGAATGGATCGGCTTCGATATCTCGGAACTTCACATCGATCCTTCGTATTTGATGTAGTCTTGAACATGTTGCCCTGACTTCCCCCCCCCTCGATGCCTGTTTTACCCCCCCCCCCGCGGTGTGTAGTGCATGCCTTTTTGTAGACAAGTTTCGACATGTACAGGATTTTGTGATTTGTTGAGTCAAACCGTGCTGCGGCGCCGTATGTGGGTGTGGTCCGCAGGAAAGCAGAGCCTCTGTTGTTTTAGGTATCGTACGCAGGCCGACAGTTCTCTGTGATGCCGGGAGAGGTCGGCATTGTACCATATCTCCAGCGGTTATAGATGAAACGGCATTGGATGCCAAGGCCGGGCTTCGACGTGGCACAAAAATGATTCCAACTTTCTCCGGTGTGTGACGTGCATTTTATTTTTTTGCTGAGACGCTGCCAGTTTGGACCGACCAAGAACATAAAGTGGTTGTTCCGTGGTTGTTATTTGTGCAGGTGGTGTTGGTTGTGTTCCCAGACAAGTATGTTGTTGTTGAGCGGTTTTTACGGAATGGATGGGTGGTTGTGCCCAAGAAATTAAGATGTGCGACATTTTTTTTCGCGATCGAGCCCTTCCGACGGAGCGAATCTTGTATCCGAAGCTCGACATGCCTCGAGCGCTGTAGGTTGTTGTTGTTGTTGATTCTCACATTAGCTCTACGCAGGCCGACAGTTCTCTCTGTACGCAGGCCGACAGTTCTCTTTTAGTCCACAAACAATGGGGGGCCCGTGGTCTCAAAACCCGGCACATACGACACCGCGAGAAAACAAAAAAATAAAATAGGGTACAAGCACAAACCACTCACAAAAAGAAAACAAAATGACAGAAAGATAAGAACAGGTATCGTGTTGTACCTGCAAGGCGAGGCGCTGTTTTGTCTTAGCCTTGTTTAGAATGTTTATACTTGAAGCTTAAGGGGCCGCCCCACAAACTAGCTTGAGCACGAAAGTGCCGTGCCTCTCGCTGCTGTTGCTTGGAATCCCGTGAACTAGGGCATTTTGTTGAAACGAACCGTTATCGAAGCCCAGGCTCAAAGTGAGATGGCCGGTATGCACCCACCTGTTCGTGTGGTGCCTTCTGTCTCGCGCTGTCTTTTTGCGCATTTCACAGCTCTTGAGTTCGAGGGACGAGTGTTCGCTTCCCCCGACGATCTCAAACTTGGCATTTGGCACACCCCACACATGACAAACGGATCAAGACACCTGCCGTCATCAGTTTGTTAGGTGTTTCTATCTTTTTTCGGTGCATCAAAACTTGCAAAAGTTGCCAACGAAGTTGGCATGCACGTCGTCCGTTAATTAGTAACCATGCGCATGCCTTGAAGTAGTATTGCATTTTTCGAGGAGTGGTGGGAGACTTCACGCTACGTCCGTATCATCCTCGAAAAAACAATTACGTTACAGAATAGCGTGAACGGCGCTTCGCAAACACAAACGTGGAGCACAACGCCGGCAGTTTGGTCAATGTCGGGTATCTACTGGTGTACAGCAGTATACATATCAATATCAATAGCAAACCGTTCCAGGTTTCCTCTGATCTCTGTTCTTTGCTCCGTCTGCACACTTCTGAAGGCTGCGAGGTGTTTGTTGCTGGTTGCGCTGTTTGAAGCTGCGAGCTGCGAAGATCTAGCAGATTCTGGTTTACCATTGTTCTGGTTGCGTCTTTGCGTCGGTTGCGTCGGTTGCGTTGGTTTTTCTTTACTCTGATCTTGCCGCTCCCGCGGACGACGAGGGCAGAAGAAGCTCCGTCCGAGCCGCCATCACTGCTACGGCGGTTGCCGCCGCCGTCGGCGCCGCCAGATGACGCTCCGGAAGTCCTTGACCGGCTGCCGCCGTCGCGGTAACGCGGGTCGTCGTCGCCATGCCTGAAGATGCAC